AGAAGGCGGGCCTGGGGCTGGGGCTGGGGCTGGGGCTGGCGTCCCTCCAGCTCCGAGAAGGGACCCGCGCCCGCGCACTACCAGCTAGTCTTCACCTGCAATGTATGTGGGACTGGGTCCTCCAAGCATATCTCCAAGCTTGCCTATCACCAGGGTGTGGTCATTGTGACCTGTCCTGCCTGCCAGACCCACCACACCATCCCCGACAACCTGGGGTGCTTCTCGGACCTGGATGGGAAGAGGAATATTAAAGAAATCCTGGCAGCCAGAAGGGAGAAGGTATGACAAGTGGCTGGCAAGGGGGTCCAGGAGCTTGTTTTAGAGGCTGCGGGGTCCCCCAAGCCACCAGTGCCGTGGCAGGTGCTGAGGACCAGGATCCCACCCAACCTGGCAAGAAGGAGGCCAGCTGACTCAACTTCTGCCTTCAAGAAGGATACTCTGGCCCTGGGCCGCTCTGGACGTGCCTATTTTTTTGTTGTTGTTTTTGTTATCAGTAGCTATCAGTTGCAGATGTGGGGCGTGGGGGTCTCCTGCTCTCCCTGGTTCTGGAGTCAAAACGACTCCCGAGAACCCTCTGTGGGCTGCAGCTGGGGCCTTCTGCAGCTACAGGCCATGTCCCAGTGGGAAGGGGCTGGACATGGAGTCTGAGTCCTTCCTGGCTGCGGCTGTGTGGCCTTGGGCAGGTCACTGTGCCCCTGTGAGCCTCTGTCTTCCTGTCTCCAGATGAGAATGCGCAGAGCGCCACCTTGTCAGGAGGACAGGCAGAAAGACAAGACTCAGGACAGACATGGGGTGGCTCAGTCCTGTCCCAAATGTCAAGGCGCCCATCTTGCTGGCTCTCAGGGATTCCAGGAAAGGACGGCCAGTTAGCCAGTGTACTTCCTGGGTGCAGGATCAGCACCCCCACACCCCTCTGCAGATCTTGTCCCTCTGGCCAGACACAAGGAGCCCCCACAGATCCTTCTGTGGCACCTGCTGTCCCCTGGACAGCACTGGTGGACAAGTGCCAACCTCAGCCCTGACTTTTGGCCACTGGCCAAGCGGTCAGGAAACCAGGCCACTCGCCGTCTCCACTGACAGGCCAGGCAGCCGTGGTGACAAAGGGAGTGGGTGCGAGGGGTGCTGTCTGACGGTTGGTGGGCCGCGTGCCGCGTGCCCTGCATTTGTCTCCCAGCCTTGTTTGACTGTTTCTCAGGAAGTTCCTGTGTTTATGAGAGCGTGTTTATTTCCAGAAGCCTTCTGGGCAGTGTGAGCGTCAGCATTAAACAGCAGCCACCATCTTACAGGATCCCGGCAGGATGCGCGCTCCCAGTTGCCGACCCCGACGGCCCTGGCCTCAGCATGGTTCTCCAGGCACTGGCAGTCTGTGCTCTGACTCGGTTACCCCCGTCCTTCCCGTGGCGAACAAGCCTGCATTATTCCAGCCCAGAGCCCCCCGTTCCATTTGTGAAGTCCAACCTGGAGGCTGAGCCAGCAGCCCCACCACGGCCTGCTCTCCCACAGAGGCCCCAGGCGACCCACTGGCCTTGAAATGCCTGAGCTGCAGGGCTGGGTAGTGGTGTGGCTGCCTAGCTGAGCCCAGACGCTTAGGACCAGAATTTGGGGAGGTCCTGGGAGCTGGCTGGACTCTGAGAGTGCAGGGCTGGGCCTTGGAGGGCCACTGAGACCAATCCCGCCCTCCACGGATGTGG